TTTACTAAAGACCATGAGCTTCAAAAATCTCAAAAATTTTATTAAATTATAATAAAATGCATTTTTTTCATTTTATCACTTATTCTTTTATTATTCTAAAATTACTTTTGCTAAGTAAATATTAAAATAATATCAAAACGGCAATTTCATTCTATGAATAAAATTATATAATGAGTATTATATTCTTAGATAATAACTATTCCATTCTTCATCAATTTTAATTCATAAACCAAATGAATCCTTAATAAAATCTTGATTCTAAGACCATGATACACAATGTGTAGCACCAAATGGTTGTTTATTAAATTTTAAAAATAATAAATAAATAAATAAAATGTAAAGTCAGAGACCTAAAAGGTGTCAAAAATAAAATTAAAGATGTAAAAGAGCCGAGTTAATTATTAAAACTTGAAGGCTCATAGACAACTTTATGATATGTTTAGTTCACAAAATAAAATAAATATTTTAAAAATAAAATAAAGGAGAAATAGAATGAAAATGTTGCTATTTAGTTTGGTTGATGAAAGAGAATAAGATAAAAATTACTATTATGATTTATTATAATATTTGATTGATAATAATAATTTTGAAATAATAAAAAAATAGAAGATAAAAAAAATAAATTTACTCTTTATTATAATATATATATTTTTTCCTATTCTTTTTCTCCTGATCGGCAACCTATTCATTGAGGGTGGGGCTATTCTTTATTATAATATATGATTATTTATTTTATTTTTAAATATTAATAATTTATAATTTATTTAAAATGTTAATAATTGATAATATAAATATTATTATTTTTATTTATAATTTAATTATTATTTTAAAATATTAATATTTTATTTATAATTTAAATATTATTGTGATTAAAATAGTAATAATCTTAATTAATTTTTAAATTTAAAATATTATTTGTTATAATATATAATTAAAAACTTAACTTTTTTATTTTAATTTTTTTTTATTTTCATGTCTTCTCCTTTGGTCAACCATTGAAGATGTGGCTGGCGTAATGGTGCGGTTATTTGGCGTTCCTTGTGGCCAAATTTAGCCACTAAGGCACCAAATCGACACTCCCAGTGGCCGAATACGGCTGTGGAGTGCTAGATCCAACCACGAGAATCTGATTGGGAAGTGCTAGCTCCGGCGCTTCACGTGACCAAATTTAATTATAGATATTAAATTTGGAGTTTTCTCTATTAGATCTATACGAAGGGCTCCAGATTCGATCCTAAAGCTGCCTCTGCCATCGCCTTCATCTCCATTGCCCCCCTCCAGTGGTGGGTGGAAAATGAGAGAGAAAGAGGCAAAAGTTGGAAAGGAGGGAAAAGGGGAAAAGAGAGAAAATATGTTTTTAAATGTTATTTCTCAATTATGAAATAATAAATACCATGAAAGTTGATATTAGTTATTTTTCGATTTTGAAAAATAAAGATTCCAAAAGAATGATTATTTTTTGAAATAGTTAGCAACCAAAGAAAGAACAAATATTCTTAACTATTCCCCTAACCAAATATGCTATTATAGTAAGGTTAGGTCCTAACTCTTACTCACCAAAATATACATCCCCTTAAGCATTTGCCCAGTCAAAAGATTACAATATTCTCTTTGTTCCAATTAAATTGTAACAATTGATTTTTATCTCTGATAAAAGGTTTTCAACTTTGATTTTCATCATTTTAAACAATTTAATGAATTAAATTTTATAAAACATAAATTTACAAATTATTTCATTCAAAAATATTAAATTTTTTTTATCAATAATAAATATAAAATGATAAGAAATTCAGGTTAAAAATATTTTTAACCAATAAAAGTCATAATAGGGCAAGTTTATTCGATTAGAGAAACTAATAATCAATTCTACCTTATTATTATTATTTTCAAAAATTAAAAATGTTAAATTCTAACTATGGAAATATCCTTAGCAAGACGTCTTTCTGTTTTTGACATTGTAATTATTACACTGACCTTTAGCTTTAGCCCATTGCAGTTGAATAGGCAAACCCAGCTGGAGTTCCATCTGAAATGATGGGTACTTTACCTTTTATGTACAATCTATAATATACAGTGTTCAATCATGCTAATGAGCTGGGTGAATAAAAAATATAAGTAACAACATTAATTCTTTGGGACCCAAACTCGTTGATTATACAGAAAGGATACCTATGGCCACTAACAACGCAAGAGAAAATCAGAATGTAATTTGGGATATGCCCTCAGCCAATCTTCTCTGTGTTTGTATCATCTGAGGGCCAAACCACAGTCTCCATGAGCCGCTCGCGCATCAATTCCAAGTTCTCATCCGAAATCTCTTTGTATATTTGAGCATGGTCACATTTCTATACCAAAACATACATAACACACAGGGATCAAAAGATTTGTATTTCCATTTCTTTCTGCCTTTTTTCTGCATCAAATGCTAAACAAACGTTGCAAGACATGTTTTTGCATTACCTTAACCCATTTTCCATACAAATGAAGCCTCGTTATCATCACTCTTTCTGCAAGTTCTTGCCTCTCCTGTCAGTCAGTGCCAAAGATGAATCAACCCTTTTCTGTCTTTTTACATATGTTACATCTGATATGTTATAGGTTGTAATTGTAGTTGTGTCACTTAAAGTTTCAGGAGGAATTTGCTGTCTTAAGCTAGTTAAGTACAGTTTTAGAGTGAAAAGATTCTTGACCTACATTTTCCTGGAAACAAAAGGAAAGCAAAACAAGACTCTTTAGAACTACCTTCCCAAGTATGCGGATGAAACGCTTGCCATCACTGGGCTTATTTGTTGCAACAAACCTGCCAAAACGAAGAGTGAAGCAGAACTTAATACAACAGAATTAATTAGATATCTTTCTTCATGTCTACATTCTGTTGATGATGTTAGCCGATGATATGTATTCAAATAAGAGTCATTTGATTGGCCCAGTTCAAGGCTTCAAGCTGGATTTGAATTTCAATTTACTAAAAATGCCACTTACTGATAGAACCATGTATATTGAGGTGGATTCATCTCATAGAGCTGATGAAGAACAGTCCTCACTGCTTTGTATGTGAAATAATTGAGTAATTGCTGCAGGCAGAAAATCTTAGTCATATAAAAGTAACCTTGACTGATTTAACAAAACTTATTTGCATTACAAGGGCTAAGGCCTGGGCTTATCAGCTGAAGATAACTAGAAATTAAATTAAGCTCTTTGACAGATTGTTTGTTCCCTTCATCTGCTTCACTTGGACAATTAATTCACTATAGTTATCCGTAAGCAAAAGCCATATTTACTATTAAGAAACAAACTACTAAACAAAACATTTGCATCCATTGCTCTCAATGCTCAGTTACTTTCAACACACTTTCCCATATTACTTATAATTGTTCTGTCTTTAGTACACTGATCTGCATAATATCATATCTTAGCGTCTGCAATATTCAAGAGTCCGAATTAGCTGCAACAACTTTTATGAGTGTCCTAATAATTCTTTAAAAATTGGATTTCTCCAAAGGGGACAAAGTCCATGTTACGATGTTGTTAAGGACTTGCAATTAAGACACCTTCATCCCTGTCACGGCCAAAGTTGTTAACAACTTTTCAGTCCATGCAACTAAGTGTCATTATGATTGGGTTAAGTGTACATTTAGCTAAAGTAAACATAGTTCTAAGCAGCAAACGTTTGAAACAACAATGATTTGATTCATCTAACAGATGCCCAATCCTAACATAAGAGAAATGCCCATGTTTCTGGACTGAAATTATCCAAAAAAGAGGGGGAAAAATCTCTTGAATGTAATTAATCCAAAACTTTTCCAATGAGATGTTGCCTCATAGCAGTAAGACAAGCGCCTAGAACCAATAAATCTCACGTTCAAGTTTCACCTTATGTTAGTTTTCAATACAGCTACATGCCGGTATGTATGTTTGGTTGTTTATCTTGTACTTGTAAACAAAAAACAGAAATTAATGCAAAAGTCTCACCGTTTTAACATCCTCAAAACTGTCTTCATACTGCCCTGCTACCTCGCTAACGACCACAAGTCTCCGGTCCTTACGCTGCTTCCTTGAACAGCTATTCACAATACCTGGAATCAGTTTCCCTGACAACCTCCAGTCCTGCCATGAATCGACAAAAGAGCTGCCTAACTCCAATGACCCTGGCCTTGCCACATGCTTTCTTTTCATTGAATTCCTTTGTAAAACCAATTCCCGCCCACTTTTCAGGTTCATGTTGGTGGATGGCAATGCATCCAGGCACAAACATGGACCAGTATGAGAATCTATAACCGAGGAACCCACCACAGACAAAGCCCCCACCATGTTTCTTGGCGAACTGAGCTCAAAATAACAACAGTTAAAAGCTTCAAAAACACCAATAACCTGATCAGGGCTTTGCTTGCTTTATTTTTCTATATATTGGAAGGTAGTTAAGAGAACAAAAGGTACCCACTAAAGAAAATGAAGAGTACGGTGGTTGGTATCCCAAAAAATTAGAGTTTGAAGATTGAAGTCAAAGATTCATGAACAAGGAAAGAGGAGAATGGACAATAAATGGAAAGCCTGTTGGGTGCAAAGGGAACTTGTGAAGAATGTGGTGCTTCGAAAGGGCAGGCGAAGAAGGTTAAGCAGACAAAGTTTTTGAGGTCCAAAACTCTCTAATCCAAACAAAAAACAAAAAAAAAAAAAAGGCGTTAAAAACACGAAATCAAGTTGATTATTTTGTAAAGGGTCTAACAACCAGGTGGACGGTTGCCCCAGATTCGTGGGTCTCTTTGGCCTTTGCCACTTGTATGAATCTAGTTGGTGTGTAAACGTGCTAAATTCATCAAACCCCAATCAACTCAAAAAGAGTTTTGTTTCAACTTTCCATCTTCCAGCAGGGGCGGCAGCTCATTTCTAGTCCACTTGAAGTTCAAACCGTCAAATAAGGCTGCCATGAAATTTACTCTTTTTTTATTTCAAGAAAAAAAAACAGAAAATCTGGATTCTTACTCTTATAGATTAATATTATTTTAAAAAGTTTAAGCATGATAGGATATATGCTTAAAACTATTATTTGAATTAGATTTCAATTGGACGAATTGGGCTGAATTATTTTGAATTGTGAATTTTATCAAATCATATATTATTCTGGAGTGGATCAATTAGAGTTTGAATTATTTAATCATCTAGTTATTATGAATTGGATCAAGTTGAATTTGAAGCATCTCACATATAAGTCAGTATGTTAATTTTATGTTATAAGAGTTAATCTACAAATTCAATTGATGACCTAAAATATATATAGTAGAAGAATGAGAGGATATTACAATGAATAGACAGAAAAAAGAGTTGATATGATAGTGTCAAGTGGGTAAGTGGGTAAATTTGCATAGATCATTTTTGAAACAAATTTTAGTTTTTTGGTTTATCATATGACTTGTTTTTTTTATTTGAATTCAATTTTTTAAATAGATATAAAAATATTACCATTGAGTTATTTTTTGCATATTTAAGGGTTAAATTAGCACAAATTTTTTTTATAAAAGATTAATTTAATAAAATATCTAACATTCAATTTTGTAAAAATCTTTATTTATCAAATAAAAAATTAAAATAATTTACTTCTTTTGAAACGTTTGACGTAAAATCTTAATATAAAATTGTTGCTTGGACGGGAATTATTTGTGCAGGTGGGCGGACTCTTACTTGCAAGCCACAACATCCATGCATGCGTCCTACCAAGCCGACTTGACTCCTTTTTCATTCAGACTTTTTTTCTAATTACTTTTCTAAAAAAAATATTTTTTTATATAAGAAATGTATTTAATCTTAATTGTCTTATATTATATAAGGGTGTGAGGGAAAATTGATTGTAAGAATGACTTGAGTTGTGGAAATGGTTTAATTTTTCAATTTAGTGGTAATTATGGCCTAATACGGATTATGCTAAACGAGCCCAAATCTGACGGTCCTAATCCAAAGTCCAACAGAGACAAAACAATTGGTCTTCAATTAGATTGGGTTGGGCCGTTGAGTCACCGTGACCTGGCTGGCTTCAATCTCAATCCACAATCATAGCCCAAACCGTAATAACAATTACAGGAAAAAACACCCCCCACAGCATGGAAAACGTCGTCGTTTACGTTTAAGCATGGTTTTAGAGCAAAAGGTTGCCTCGTCTCGTCAGCATGAGTTCCCTTAACAGAGTCACGGTATTTCGCTAAAAGCCATCGAATCTGGGAGCGCCTCTATCTTTCTGATTTCCACCATTATTCTTATTATTGAGCTTCAACCCGCTAAACCACTGAGACACGATAATCAAGTCTTCTTTGCGTTTTTCCTTTAATAAAACAAAGCATCAACATGTTCTACAGAGGGTAAATTTTACTTCTTTTTTTTTTCTTGATTTCTCTTTTTATTTTTTATGTTTCTTTGATCCATATCCAAGCCTTTTCTTTTCTGGGTTTTGATTTTTAAGTCTATTTTTTAAGAGTTTAACTGTTGGGATTGATGAATTTTACAGTTGGGTTTTGTTTAGGACTTATAGTTTATTAGTCATGCTGTCTAAATTTCAATTTTGGTTGTGATAAAAGAAGGAAAATGAAAAAGAAAACATGGGCTCAGAGCTTAATGCGTTGTTAAAATAGGTTCTTGAACTGATTCATTTGTTTTTATATTTGAAGCTTGAATAGCAATTTGCGACGCCTCTTGATTATTGAGTTTGTCCACTTTTCTGCCTATTATATAAAGCGTCATTCATTAGCTCAAAAGGAATTGAGGCTTTTTATACTTGTTCTGGGCTACGGTTAAGATTGATAAATATTTTGCTCTTCCATTTGCTTGTTTTGTTGGTTTGTGTAGAACTTTGAGAGTTTGAGTATAATTACATCTTTTGGGATAGTCTCAATATTGAGGAGTTAAGCTAGACCATGAGTCCATGTTGGAGCGTAACAAGGGGTCCATGCGTACACGATGGACACATCTTGAATACAATAGTTTAAGTTGATACGTTCTTGGGTCTTCTGTGTGTATCAGTGTATGCCAACTTCGCATCTTACTAGATGTGGGATATCATGCTTCACATGTGAACCTTAAAAAATCTCCTAAGTTCACCTGTGAGTTGTCATCATTGATTAACTCCACCGTGCCAAAAAAAACCATGCTAATTCTCTTTGCTATCTGTGTACCCTTTAGGCCTTAAGCTTGCTTTCAACCACCACACATGTTGCCAAGTATAGGTTGTTGCGGTGCACCATCTTTCCATCGAATCTTAACTCACCACGCGCTTTATGCCAGTACTCAACCATGCATTTCTTAGCATCCAAGTTGTCCTAGTGCACCACCTTTGCATTTGAGAAACACCAAGTCACCAAACTTGTTGGAACATAGTCAAACCTTTGGCTATGATGCCACACCACAACTGCAAAGAAGCCCAAGACCACCACTGAATTTCTCTCTAATTCTCATTGTTGATTTCTTAAATTTTTCCTCTACCCAAAATACCATTGATAGGTCTTAACAAAGCGTAAAAGGATAAGGGGTAGATTTATCAAATCATTGCTAAACAGACACTTATCAAGGAGTTTTGCTGGTAAGATGGGAGAATGTGGGCTAAAAGGCTGGAATTGACACTCCATTTTGGGGCATACTAACTTGGTTCTAGATCTTCTTTACATTGTGCATTATATATGAGTTGATTCCAAGTATAAATTCATAAGAGAAAGCAAGCTTTTTTCTATAACTTCCTCAGGTGCATCATATGTGGAGTGACTTTTTGTCAGTGAGATTGACTCTAGTAGTGCTTAGGCTTGTCATATGAGGATCACTCTGTCATCTTGACCACCCGAAATAAATAATGAACTTGTAGAAGATATTCAAGGATATTTAAGATAGAAGTCTATATTGTTTGTGATAGTACGTTCTGCACCATACAAGGAGGAGCACATTGATAAAGCATTAATTGAAAAGAGGCTGGACATAATCACCAGTCTTAGGCAACTAGGCGGTAAATACATCTTGACGAGCAACTTCCTAAACAGTGAGCTGTTTTATTTAGTTAGTTATTGTGCATCTAGCCTGCATATGTAGCAGTTATCTCAATGTTTCTATGACTACTACAATGCGTGCTTGTGTTTTGGGATAGACAATGATAGAAGCCCCCCATTCTGTTTAGACATAGCAAGTAATGGATTGATGTTTAGTCAATAAAGCTTGGACACTTGAACAAAATCTAATGGAGAAGCTATTGCTGAACATCCTTAGTTTGCACAGGAGTAGTTGTGTGAGTGAATTTGGAAAAGTTTAAATTGGTTTTGATCCTGTAATACCTTTGGTCATTTTGTAAAGTAGGGGGCTGTTGATTGGATGGTGGGATTGAAGTGTCTGAAAATGGTGGCATTCTTCAGTTAATATTTGAATTTGGTGACATTTATTTTTAGCATGATGAAAAGATGCATCTTCTAGAGGGTTATTAGGAGATGAGGTGCATGGAGCACCCGTCGTGTGTTAGGAAAGTAGGGAAAAGGTGGGTGTACTGGCAAAAAATAGTAAGAGTGGGTCTAGGAGAGATATCTCATTTGGATGTGTGGAAGGTAAGGTAGGAATGAAGTTTATGAATGTGATTGTTACTTGGTGTGTAACAATGTCTGTGGAATGTTGGCAGCTTAGAAAATGAAAAAGCTTCTAGTTTCAAGAGAGAAACAGAGCGAATGTGTGATAGCACATCAGTTAGAAGCCTTAAGGAACTGAGGGGTAATTTATGACATCAGGGTGGCTTTTCACCAATTGGAAACCTCCATATTTTATTGTAATTTATTAGAGGAGAGCACACTCTCTGATGAAGGAAAGCACGTTGTGAGTATTTCTTGGAAAAAGTAAAGGCAGTTATGGAGCTCACTTTTCCTGAAGCTTAGTGAGTGATTTTATTTGTTAAAATATAAAATATATAACAAGTAACCAGAGAGTTGTTTGAATTGCATGTAACTAAAATGAAAATAAAATTAAAAAATTGAATAGATGAATTGTTTGCTTTTCACCAAATTATACTTAAACATGATTAGCTATGGGTTTGTATAAAATTAACATGTCACATGATACATTTTTCATTTTTATTTGGAAATTTAGAAACATAAGTGTCCTTCATCCTTGCGTTGCTATTTTTATCAAGTTTTAATTACCAATATTAAAGAATAAATTCATATCTATTAACGTATTGAGTAGTCTCATTTGTTGCTTTCATGATTTTTGGAAACTGAAGTAAATATACTGATGGTGCTGATGGGCGTGAAATGGGTGCAAAACGTCAGCGGATAATTGATCAAGGCCCATCATTCTATGGTGCTTCTCCAGGTTCCAGCTTTATGTACAATGCTCCTCCTCCTCCGTACACATATGTTAGCCAACCTCCACCTTTCCCTGTTGTTCGACTTCGTGGTCTTCCCTTCGATTGCACGGAGGCTGATGTGGCTGAGTTCTTCCATGGTCTGGACATAGTTGATGTCCTTTTTGTCCACAAGAACGGCAAGTTCACTGGTGAAGCTTTTTGCATTTTGGGTTATCCCCTTCAGGTTGATTTTGCTCTTCAAAAGAATAGGCAAAACATGGGCAGGAGATATGTAGAGGTTTTCAGAAGCAAGAGACAGGAATATTATAAGGCAATAGCTAATGAAGTGGCTG